TCGGAAACAGGCTCCAGGCTCTGAGCCATCAGCCCAGAGCCTGACGCGGGGCTCGAACTCACGGACCGCGAGATCGTGACCTGGCTGAAGTCGGACGCTTAACCGACTGCGCCACCCAGGCGCCCCAGAACCTCACAGTTTTTGAAATACAGGGGAGAATTAAAATAAACAAAAGCAACAGTCTATAAATCAGGAGAGCAGCAACTACAGTGCAAATGTTCTGAGGTTCTTGCATTGTCTGGGAGAAGATAAATCCACTTATTCATATTAGACTTTCATAAATTAAAGATGCATGCTGGAATCTCTAGGGAATCATGAACGCACAGCAAATGTCTTTATTACTTCCCACCTAACAGAGTGGGGAAAAGAATAATGACAAATAATCTACCCAAAAGAAAGCAAAAAAAAAAAAAAAAAAAGAGAGAGAGAGAGAGAGACAAACACAAACAACAACACAAACACAAGCAGGACAAAAAAAAAGTAAAAAGGTTGTAGATTTAAACTCAAATATAGAGACAATTATATGTAAATGGGACTATGTGCTCCAATTAAAGTTGAAAATTTGATTAAAGATTAAATTTTTAAACAACTGAATGCTCCTTACACGAGACAGGTCTAAAGTGCAAAGATGAAAGTTGAAAGCAAAGACATGGAAAATGATCTTCCATGCAAACACTCATCAAAAGAAAGCCAGTGTGACTGTTTTAATACCAGAAAGTAGATGGTGCCAAAACGTATGGCTAAAGACAGACGTTTTGTAAAAACGGAAGGTTCAAGTCACTGAGAAGTTACAACAATTCTGCCTTTGCATGCACCTGATGACTTAGCCTCAAAATCTGTAAGGTAAAAATTGACAGACCTATAAAGGAGAGACACATGTTTCTACAGTCTTTGTGGGACGTAAGTTTTGGCTTTAATTTGTGTAAGCAAACAGCACTTCCTATGTGACAGGTCAGAGTCACATGAGGCAGGTGTTCTTACTTCCTAGGTTAGAATTCTGAAAAAGTCAAGATATTAAGGAACTTGCCCAATGTCACAGAATTAAGAAGTGTTGGGGCTGAGATTTAAAACCAAGCGTTCTAGCTCCAGAGGCTTACTGAAACATAGTGGGGGATGTTGACACTAACTACCCTCTTGGTAACTGACCAAACATGCAGGCAAAAACTCCACAGAGTAGAAGGTTTGACCGCGGCCATGGAACTCTCTGTTACAGTAGCTCCATTCAGTCCAAGTTCTATGGCACAATCATGTCCAACAGTGGATTGTCAGGAGGCTGACATGAGATCACACATGTTTATAACATGGAAAACGCTATACAAATATCGGTTCCATTGTTTGGCTCTTGGTCTTCTGTTGTTCGGGGGAGTTTGGGGGGGAGATTTTGTGGATTTGCAATATCTGCTTTAATTGCAATCCCTTCAGATCCTAATTGTAGAGTATAACCAACTGATAAATTGTTACTGTTGTAACACACAACATACAGTTGGGTATGAAAATGTGTAAATAGAATCTGAGTGAAACATACTATAAGGCCACATGCTGATGATTCTTTGGTGTGTTTTCGTTTTTTTGTTTGTCTGTTTTTTCAGTCCACTGGTGTGTAAGTCAGGCTCTGGGATACCAACCCAGGCTTGCTGGAGGATGGTATGACTGGAGAGCTGGCCTGGGACCTTATGCAAGTCGCTGACCCTGGGCCTCCGTGTCCTCGTTCATCCAATGATCACACCCACTCTAAACTGCCTCGCTGCCCTCATAGGACTTCAAGGAGGGATCTCAGAGATCTAATGGGAAAGTCCTCTGAATTGCGTATGGGGCTAAACAAATGTCAGGCATTGTTAAGAATCTCAAACCGTGCGGATCGCTTGACGAGTCTGCTTTATGCTGTTTCATGTGTTGTTAGTAATAAAAGCTAACATTTATTGAGAGCTTGCCGTGTGGTGGGTGCTACGCCAAGCCCTTTACAGGCCGCATTTCATCAATGCGTCCCAGCAACCCGAGAGGCAGAGTGGTCCAGGGCACTGCAGTTGGATTGCCTAAGGCCATTTGCAGGCTCGCACCACTTACCAGCTGAGGTTATGGCCCCTTTCGTGCCTCAGTTTTCTCATCTGTAAAATGGGAATAACGATAGCACTAACTTCACAGAGCTGTTGTGATTATTTCACGAGTTAACGTACGTCACGTGCTGGGACCTGTGGGTCTGGCACTTGGTAAGCGGCCCATCGAAACTTGTTTTATCGTTTCCACTTTATAAGCAGTGAAATGGTTGTCAAGTGGTAGGTCACCCAGCTGATGCAGGGCCAGGCTGGGATTCTCACCCAGCTCTCTTCTGGACCCAGAGCCCACGTGTATAACCACTATGCTCCCTACCTCCGACAGTCGTGTGAGCAAGGTTAGAGTCCCCAGCCATTCACGGAGTCTGTTTGAAGCCCTGCAAACCCAAAAGGAAGCTGCCAGCCCTTTCCCTTGCAATAATCCTCCACACCATGCTTCACTTTTGGCCTGCACTGCGGAGGAGTTTTTGAGAGGCTTTAAGCCCAGCTTTTGCACCCACAATTTTCTCACGAATGCTCAGCAGAGAAAAAAAAAAGCCTCACAGAAGCATTTGCTACCCAAATATCAACTAAAACATCTACACTCATCATACCTCTCCCCCCATCCGCAACCACCACCACTTGGCCTCTGCCCCCAGCTGCAAATTGCTTGGGAGATGTTTATTTCTGGAGCATACTTTAGGATGAGCAGCAGCAGCTGGGGCAGTGTGGGGACAAGCTCCCCCATCAGAAGAGGAGGTTGATCCTCTTTCCAGAAATGCATGTAGACAAGCAGTCTCGAAGCAGGCACCCACGGGTGGCTCCCCCAGCCTGGCTGGTGTGTGATCTCAGGGACAAGGCCAGGCCCTCGAGCCCGTGGCAGAAGGGGAGGTAGAGGAAAGTGGCATCCTTTTAAAATTCTAGTTCCTGAGTTCATCAAGGCTGGCTGGAGGCAGAGATTAGATAGTGGCTTTCATCACTGGTCATGTTGTCATGAATATTTTTCTTAGGGTTTGTCTTGGGCCATGCTCTCCTCTCTCTTCTCTTGGGCTTTCTTTCTTTCTTTTTTTTTTTTTTAATTTTTTTTTTTTCTTTTTCCAACGTTTATTTATTTTTGGGACAGAGAGAGACAGAGCATGAACGGGGGAGGGGCAGAGAGAGAGAGAGAGACACAGAATCGGAAACAGGCTCCAGGCTCCGAGCCATCAGCCCAGAGCCTGACGCGGGGCTCGAACTCACGGACCGCGAGATCGTGACCTGGCTGAAGTCGGACGCTTAACCGACTGCGCCACCCAGGCACCCCATCTCTTGGGCTTTCAAGATCAGTTATGCAACTTATGTTCAGAAATCTCTGCATGCCCTTTCAGGCTGAGGATATCAGCCAAGGGCTAGGACTGGCTCTCAGCTACGTGGGAAAACAGGACACGCTGCTTTTTACCACCCTCTCAGCTGCCTTTCTGAGGGTCTGCTTTCTCCTTCCGGGGCCTCCAGCTGCCTAAGGGCTTGGTGCCCCTGACCCACGTTCCCTGCAAAATCATATCCCTTTCTCATCCCTGTTAAAGCTCCTACTCTGTTCAGGGATCTTGCGAAGAACATGACGTGGTAAATACATTCGTGCTGTGAGTGGATGGCCAATAATCGTTTAATAGGTTGATCTACTTCCCATATGGAATTTTCTTTTTTCAAAGCGTGTACCTGGAGCCAGAAACTCAAACAGCAGAGTTTCTGGCAGTCCCAGACATCCCAGGTGCTTGGACAGATGTGAGAAAGTCTGGAGGCAGGAGAATTTGGAGCCTCTTTCAGTGTCCCACCTGTATCCCCTGGGTTCAAGTGCTGACTATGCTACTTTCTAGCTACAAAACTTGGGTCCAGGTGCTTGACTCCTCTAAACCAGGTGTGTTGAGCTCCCCTGGATGTAGACCTTGATACAAGAATTTAAGTGCAAGTATTCAGGATTGAGGGCAGTGGGGAGGTGATCCCAGGAAGCACTGTCAAGGGAATAAGACAGAGAAGGGAAGGAAGCCAATATAGGACACAGTAGCGAGCAGGTGGCCATTGTGGGCAAATAGGGCTCCCTGGGACACTGTAGAATAAGCCTCAGAGTGGTCCCTTAGGAGGGATATCTTAGTCTGTTTGGCCTGCTGTAACAAAAATAGTATAGACTGGGTGGCCAATAAACAAGAAAAATGTATTTCTGAGAGTTCTGGAGGCTGAGAACTCCAAGATCAAGATGCCAACAGACTCGGTGTCTCACGAGCCTTGCTTTCTGGTCCATAGACAGCACCTCCTAGCTGTAGCACAGTAACTCCATTCATGAGGGCTCCACGCTCATGACCTAATCATCTTCCAAAACCCCCCCACCCCCATCCTAACACTATCACCTCAGGGATTAGGATTCAACGTGTGAGTTTGGGGAGGGGGGCCAAAGATTCAGTCCATAGTAAGGACTCTGGGAGCTGAGCTGTACTCGTCCACCAGCTCCCATCGGTCATTGGTTGGGGACTGCGCCCACTAATTCCCCAACACTCCCAGCCTGCTGACAGAGCTCCAGGGTCCAGAGAACACCTTCCAGCTCATAGTTGGAAGCCTCAGAACATGGCATTCACAGCAATGGCCAGGGACAAGGGAATCTATTAGAGTATTGACGGTGACTGCAATGCTAGCCATTCCGAGGGAACAGAAGACTCACCAAAGGCTAAGGGATCAGATGAGATGGTGTAGGGCACTCAGCAAAGTACCTTGCCCATGGTCAGGGATGTTCAGTGATGGTTGTTGGTCCTGTTAGTTGTGTTCTAGTCTTGGCCACATGGATTGTTTTGGAGAGAGGCAGGAAACACAATTAGGAAGGCAGGAGTAAGTCCCATTGCACAGGCTTTGAAGGACAGGGACAGCACAGGTTTGACCCAGTAGGCAGGGCTGGGGGAAGCAGAATGTTCCGCGGTGAGCACAGTGAACAGAATCCACCAAGGCTAAGGCTGGAAAAAGGAAGCATCTTTACGGAAACTCAAGCAATGCACATGAAAGCACACAATATCTTGGGGGGGAGCAGGAGGGGGTGTCTGAAAGATGATCTGGGAGGTGTTGACCCCTCCTCCGTAGAACCTTCCTGAATTGGTCAAAGGCCACAGGTTTCTGTCCTCCTGACTTATATGGATACAACCCTCCCTGCCCTTCCCCCATCTCACTCAAAAACAGCTCATTACCTATCAAGTGAAGGCTGATTAAAAATATCTCACAATGGGACCAAAATTATTTCCACCCTTATCTTTTTTTAACCAACCTCACCCTCCTGCAAAATCCCTAGGATTTACCTGCTGGAATTTGATCTGCCCCCAAAGTAAAGAAAAGGATACCAATAACAAAGCTTTTTATGGCTTTTTTTCAAACCAAAGGGTGTCCCTTGGGAGCTCTGTTCCTGGCATTTGAGACATGGATGCTTAGGTTTCATCTGAAAGTGGGAGAAAGAACGATGAGGAATCAACAGTATTCTAAAAAATCATGGGAAATGCTATCCCCAAAAGGCATAGGGTAATCAGTACGTTTGAAGCGTGCTTGGAGAAATGTTTCTCTTCCTCAACATGGGTTTGGATTGTGCTGGAGGGGAAGAGTGTGTTTATTGTTGGCACGGACACGCATGCACGCATGTGACTGTTTGCATGGGCGTGTGTACCTGTGTTCGGCCCAAACACACTCACAGGAATATGCTTATCAAATGGCTCAGTTCCTGTCCCTTGGCCCAAAGGCACCCTCGCATCTGGTCCCTGTGCACTGTTGGGAATCCCTTTCTCTGCTCCTTGTCTTTGTTTGAGACTCTCCAGAGAGCCCTCCGTAAGCCCATCTTTACCCTGGTGCATTCCATGCAGACCCTAACCTTCATGACTTCTCTCTGACGTCCCAGCCCAGCCAGGGCCGGGGAGAAGTTCCTGGACGATGCCCTGGGCCATGCAGGAGGCTAAAGGAAATGATGCAGGAGTTATAGTTCGTCCATACTGAGTACTCAGTTGAAGGCAAGTTGTTCTTCATACTGTTGTCACTGTGACGTTTGTTCCTGATGTCACTCTTCCTGTCTGGTCCATGGTCAAGGGCTTCACTCATCAGAAATGGCCTTTCAGCTAGGATGTTGACTGCTACCTCCAGACTTTTAAGGCAATTTGTAGTCTCCAAATGAGATGTTTTTCTTCAAGAGGATGTTTCCTCATCCATCCTGCGTGTCTGTTTGTACTGTGGCCATACTCCTTCCCTTTGATATCTTTACTGCGAAATACTGTACATACTTGTGGCTTGAGAAATGGAAATCAGAAGATAACTTCCTGGATTTGGTATAGGCTGTGTACAGGGCTTGATCCTGGTAGGAATCCCAGTCAATGACCCTCGGCATTGGGACCAAGATCAAGGCTCAGCAGATCCCACCCACAGGACGTCTCTGGGCTAACCATGTTCATGCAGTCCTGACCTAAAACACCTGCTTCCCCCATCCAGCTGTGATGTGGTGATGAGTTGTGAGTCCATTGGGATTCGAATCCCAGTTCTGCCACGCAGGTGCTGTGGGATCTCGGGTGCATCCTTTGCTACTTTGAGTTTAGATTTCTCAAGTGGACTTGGCAACTGTGGATTTTTCTGCCTGGCATACTTTGTCATCCCCCTTTATCTGTTTCCTTTAGGGAACTCTTCTCCTATGATATGCCATCTTGCTGCGGCTGTCAGTCATAACACCCTTCTCTTCCCAACTCCTCAGGGCTGGGCGTGTGCCACAGACTGGGCCAATTATAGTACCATATTCTCCAGGTGCTGATGGGTTCTGGAGTGGGCATGAACCAAAGCCCTGGGCTTTTCTGCTGGATCGAGTAGGGAAGGCTGTCTCTTTCTGTTTAGAATCCATAAAGTGTAAGTTTGGGTCTGCTGGCTACATCTTCCTAGCAGGCAGAGAAATCTTGTCTGCTTCAGGAAAGGACTGCAGAGTGAAGTAAAACTAAGAGAAGACAGAAAACAGACAAGAGTTTCACTTGAGACGCTTGATCCAGCCATACCTGCAGCAATCATCTGTGCACTTCCTGTCTACATAAGCTCATACACTGCCTTTTCTGCGTGAGTCGCTTTGTGTAGTTTCTCTTACTTGTGAAAGAATCCTCACCAGGACAGTCTTTTTATCTATAAAAAAATGACTATAGTTCCTTGCAGGAGTCTTGTGAACATTAAATTAGATCGAAGTTGTGAAAGGGATTTGAAAATTGGTAAAACACCATGGACACCCCTCAGACATCGCTCGTGGGAATGTGAACGCCATAGTGGAAACAGTTTATTAGTTTCTCAAATGATTAACCACAGAGTTATCATACAACTCAGAATTCCACTCCTAGGTATATACCCAGGAGAATTGAAAACATACGTTCACACAAAAACTTATATGCAAATGTTCATAGCAGCATCATTCATAATAGTCAAAAAGTAGAAACAAGCAAATATATCTCACCTGATGAGTAGATAAACAAAACGCGGTATATCCATGCAGCGAAATGTTATTTAGCAATAAAAAGGAATGAAATACTGATCCTTGCTACAATATGGATGAACCTTGGATACAAGGTGATAGAAGCCAGACGCAAAAGGCCATCTCTTGTCTGATTCCAATGTTCAGAATAGACAAATCTGTACAGACCGAAAGTAGATCCATGGTTTCCAGGGGACTTGGGTGAGGGAATGGGTAGTAGCTGCTAATGATTACAGAGTTTCTTTGGGAGGTCATGACAACCTTGTGGAGAAACTAAAAGTTGCTGGTGAACTTTATGGCATGTGAATTATCTCAAGGAAAATAAATATGCTACATACATGTAAAGGGTTAGTAGTATCATTACCATTGCTCAACTTAAATCCCAGCTTCCATAAAGCCCTTTATCCGAGTCTCTGAGTTTTTCCAGATTGAGTCTACATTGTGCATTTGTCACCCATACGCTGCTGCCTTGTAAGGTTTAGATAAAATGTTTAATACTCATCAAATAGTAAATTATTTAAATAAATGATTAAATAACAAACAATGATTACATCAATAGATACCAGGTCGTGTCTTGTCAGCTCCACCCCTGGGGCCTCCAGCGTGGGCTTCTCTTCTGTGTTCTGCATGTTGAAGAGGGAGGGCACATCTGTTCCCCTCCCCATGCTGCCAGATTCTGAAAAGGCACACATATCGTATTCGGGACTCCAATGCCCCTGATGAGGACAGTGGGAGCTAATGAAGGGGAAAAATAGAAGAATTGTTACACGAAGACCCTCAGCGGCAGGCCCACCAAAGGGATCTCCTTCAGCAAAGAGCGTCTGGTCTTCACAAGTGCTTCAAGCAACCCCCAAATACCTGGAGTTTGAGAACCACCAGAGAAAGCCTGAAATTGGGTGAGGCAAGAAGAGGTGGTTTGCAGCTCATTGGATAACTGTTACCGGTTAGGGTGCTCTAGGTTCAAAGCAGCCTCACTCAAACCCACTTAAACAATAAAGCGGACTCATTGGGCATATAACTGGAAAGTCCTCAGGGGAACAGGCTGAGGAGGTGGTTTGATCTAGAAGCTCAATAAGACCCTCGTGGACTTGCGTTCTCCATTCTGCCATCCCAAGACAGATCTCCTTCCTCCACCCCAACCCCTTCCACTTCTGGGCCTACGTGATTCTTTGTTTCAGCCTGGGAGGGGATGCAGGAGTAGGAGAAGGGAGAAAAGAGTTCCTTCCTTCCTTCCTCCCTTCTACGGGCCATTTTAGAAGAGTAAGAAAGCTTGTTTCCCAGAAAGCCTTCCTTGGTCATGTTTCCCTTTCTTAAACTATGGCCAGGGGGTGGCAATACACTGATTCATTTCAGCCTAAACCACATACCTCCCCCTACACACACACACACATACACCCTGTGGGTATGGAATGAGCTTTCCCCAATGTCTGTGGCTAAGTGAGGGAGGTGAGGTTACTGAAATAAAACCAGGGTATCTAGCAAGAAGAGAGCAGTGTTGCGGAGGCAGGCACAACACCTATTACTAAACTCACGTGAACCTGGGCCTTCTCAAAACCCACTTCAATCCTCCAGGATCCAGCCTGAATGCCAACTCCACTGGGAAGCCCTTCCAATCCTTCCCAGAGAGAAAATTCCTCTGGGCACCCACACATCACCTGTGCTCATTCAACTACTCATCCGTCCACCCACCCACTTACTGTGTTACTGGTACTGGGTGCTGAGGGCTGAGTGCTCAGTTGTGAACCAGAGATTTCTACCCGAATGGGGTTTTCAGTCTGGACAAGGGCAGAAAAGTTAATCAAATGATTACACTAACTTACCTAAGCATAATGAAGAAAAGAGAGGGAGAGAGAGCATGTACCTGGGGAGCCTACCTGGTGAGGACGGGGGTTGGGGTGGGGGTGAAGGAAGGCTTTCCTGAGAAAGTGATGTGAGGTCCCTGCTCTCACTTTCACCACCTGTGCCATCCCACCCTCTGCCTCAATTCTCCCCTGCTGGGCAGGCCAGCCTCTACACTCCCTGGTTCTGGTCCAGGGCCTGATTTAAAGTTTGTGCAACAAATGTGCGTTGAATTTAATTGTCAGGGGTTTTGAACTGCTGGGAAGGAAGGTGGCTGCGTTCCAAAGAACAGCTTCACTGCTGTGAAAGTAGGCTCAGGATCCTCCTGGCTGCGTCGGGGTGCCTCAGGTAGGAGGGGCGGACAGAGTGGAGGTGGAGCAGGGATCCGCATTCATTCCGGGGTCAGAAGCAGCACCGGGGCCTTTGCATTCCAAGCTCCCGATAAGGGCAGGCGGGAGGGGCGTCTCCGAATTGACGTTTGAGGGACATCCGCTCCCCTGGGCCAAGGGAGACCTCAGTCGTGGCCAATGTCTTCGGGCCACCTGAGATACACCTCCGAGCTTTGTGAACCCTCTGAGAAACGGGAATATAAGCCACTTTTGCTGCAGAGATTTGGCCTTTGGTGGCGGGGTGTGGAGGGAGGCGCCGCACCGGTTCTCGGAGGCGGGGGGCGTGGGGGGGTTCCTCCCCGGCATAGGAGGAGTAGGGGCGCGGGCGGTGCGGAGAGGGCGTGGGGGGGGGGGTGGCGGCACGCCGCGTGCCCAGGTGGCAGAGGGGCCGAGATTGGCCCCGCGCCCGGCGCGAGCGTGTCCGCGCGCCCCTCCCCGCCGCCCGAGCCCTCCCACTTCCTCTGCAGGAGCGGCGGCTGTCAGGGAGCCGGGCGCGCGGCTCGCAGTGCAGGCTCCGGGCGCCCGCGAGGAGGCTGCCGCTCGGGCTCACCGCCCCGCCGCCCCTCACCCGGCCCAAGCCGCCGCCGCCGCCGCCGCCGCCGCGCGCCATGGACCTGCCCAGGGGCCTCCTGGTGGCCTGGGCGCTCAGCCTGTGGCCAGGTACGTCCCCCTTGCCTCCGCGTGCGGGTGGGAGCCCCTCGGAGGGTCGGAGCTTGGCTGCTGGGGGGACGCGGGTCCCCCGAGAAGCGGCGGCAGTCTAGCGGCCAAACTCCGCAAAAGAGGGCGCCAGGGCGACTCGGGGCCGGGAGTTTGTTTGGGTGTGCGGGGAGGAGTTGGGGAAGACTGAAGAGGCTCGAGTCGAGGAGCGCGGCGGGCTGGCGGCCCCGCCGGACACGCTGGCTACCTCCGGGCGCCCGGCCGGGGAGACTCGGGCGTCCCGGGAGCGCGGAGGGCGCGTGGCCCGGGCTGGGAGGGGTCCGGGCGCGCGGAGCAAGCGCCGCCTCGGGAGCCCTCCTGCCTGCGGAGGGAGGCGCCTGAAGTTTGGGGAGCCGGGCGCGGCGGCCCGGGAGAGCTGGGGGGACCTGGGCGCCGAGCGCTGCCCAGAGTCCCTCCGGCCGCGGTCGGACGAAGCCCCAGGGCGGGGGCCCCTAGGACGAAGCCCCAGGGGCGAGCGGTCGCCGGCCGGGCCGAAGGCGACGGGCGCAGCTTCGCAGTCCAGGGCCCCAGAAACCTTACCTGATACGCGGGGTAGGGACGGGGCAACCGGCGCTCGAAATTATGCAGTTATTCAATAATCGGGGGAAGCCGCCGTCGCCGAGGCGCGCGCCGCCCGCCTAATGCAATCCAGGTGTCGGGGCGCGGCGAGGACCTCGGGCCGGCCGGGCGCACTGCCGGCAGCCAGAAGCGGGCCCTGGGCTCTCCGCACTGGGGCCACCCGGCCCGGGCTTCTCCACCCCCGGCGACCCGGCCCGACCCGGGGTGGCGGCCAGCGGCGCCGTTCTACCGGCGACGACCGCTTTCGGGGCCTCTCCTTTGCGCAGCGGAGTGTCCCGGCGGGGACCAGAGCCCGCCGCGGGGACTGGCCGCCCGGCCTCGCCTCCCCTTCCGCATGGGTCAGGCTGGGGCTGGAGCGGTACTGGGGTCAGACGCGGGGGCAGCAGGGAAGGAGCAGACAGGGAGCACCGGTGGCGACCCCCCAGCCCGGGCTCACTCACCGCGGTCCCAGGGTACCGCGGAAACAAGTGCACCCCCCATCGGTCTCTAGCGGAGACTCTGGAAGGGCCTGTAGTTGAAAGAGTTTCTGGCCATGGATTTCAGTCCAGATCCTAGAGCCACGAAGCAAACATTGCCGCTTTAAGTTGTTGGGGGAAAGGAGTGTTGGGGAGGGCATCAGGCCACCAGGCCAGCATACATCTAGAAACCGGCTGCAGGGAGAGGTGAAGTCCACTCTAGGTCTTTCAGACAGGAGGGAAGGTAACTCCAGGAACTGTCTTCAAATCACGGGGAGATCCAGTCTTAGGAAAAGGGAGCCCTGTGTGGCTCCAGATAGGAGGAATCTTCCCACCGGACCTGAGATGGAGAAAGTCTGGACCTGGGAAAGCTAAGAATGAAGTCTTTGGAATCAGAGCACTTCCATCCTGGCTCTGCTGCCCACTAGCTGTACAATCTTGGGCACAATATGCAATCTCTCCAACAGGTTTCCTTCTTTGTGGAACGGAGATAGAAACTCAGACCGAGTTCATAAAGTACTCCAGATAATTAAGTGAGGCACTGTCAGAAAAGTCCTTAACACAGGGCTTGGTGCACAGCAGGGTAGAAGCCATGGTTGTTAATGTCGTTTACTCAAGCAGGAATGGTGGGGCCGGGGGGGGGGCGCCGCGCTCGGGGAGTGGGGTGAAGGACAGGGACAGGATTTGTGACTCAGAATTCCCTTTAAATGGAGAAAAACCACCCTTAAGTTATGTATGGTCAGTTTGGGTTCTTAAAATATGGGATTCATTAAACATATCAATCAATGTTGGACGACGACATCTGCTTGCAAGAAACTGGGCGTGGGGACCAAGTATGTGTGCAGTCTGGGTCCTGCCTGGAGCTGGGAATAAGGCAAGGCCAGAGGAAGCTGAATAGAGGGATTAGGGAGTGAACAGCACAGAAAAGCTAAGGACTATGGTTCACACAAGAGAAGTTCAGTTCCACTTGATTAGCAAAGGAGGCTTCCTGAGGGAAGGAGAGCCTTGAAAGGGTGTGGAGAGTGTGGAGAGGCCTCAAAGTAGGATTGTTTATAAGTTAGAGTGTTATTTCCTGGGACTAATTAAAGAGAGGAAAAAAAAGGATATTTTAAACCACAAAGGTGACTCTATTTTGGACCCAAAATTGGAAAGGTTGGGGCGGGGGTTGGGGGGGTCAGTGGGTCCATCCCCCTGGCTCCAGAGCAAGATTGATGTCAGTCTCCCAATGGTGCATCACATGGATTCAATGTGAGGATTACCAGGAAGCTTGCCTGATGGTGACGGCACAGCTTGGCTGAGCAGGGAACCTGTCACGGGCCAAGTTGGGAGTGAATGCACGTGGAAGCCATTATGAGTTTGGAGCTTCTATCTTGCCAGAGCTTCTGCTGTAAGTTGGGCAAGGTGATGGGTGGGCAAAACTAGAAAGGAAGAAAAAAGGAATAAAGAGAGGGAAGGAGGGAAAGAGGAAGGAAGGAAGGGAGGAAGGAAGGAAATAAAAGAAGGAGGGAAGAAGGGAAGAGGAAGGGAGGATGGAGGGAAGGAAGGATGGAAGGAAGGAATAGGAAATAGACAAACCCAAAGACTTTTGTAGCTGACATCCAGGTAAAACAGATCCATTGATCAGAAGTTTCTATCATAACATATCTGTAATAAGGGTTCATGAGTAATGATTCTTTAAAACTCAATCTTTACTGAGCACCTATTGTCTGCGCCGCTCCATAAAGGCACACAGGGAGATCAGACACAGCGTGGGGGTGAAAGCCTGGGGGTCTCACTCCCTGGACTGGGTCTGGCCTCTGCCAGTTAGGACTCTGTGCTCTTTGCAAATTACCAAATGGTTCTGTGCCTCAGCTTTCTCATCTGCAAAATGGGGATGATAATAAGAGACTTTACAGAATTATCCAAAGATTAAATGAGTAAGTGTAAATACAGTGCTTGGAAAGATCCAGCACATATTAAGCATTCAGGGAGGTTGTCTTTCTTCTCCAGCAGCAGCAGCTTAGGACTGAAGGTACTGACTGTACAGTAAGGGATGGAAGGATGCACGGAGTTGTAGCTGTCAAACTCAAGTCCATAGGAGAGGTCTAAAGGAAGTGCTACGTGCAAGGGTGCTGGAGAAGACATACATGTCAAGGCCCCAAATAGACCCAAACTTTCCCAGCCCCTCTCCTAAAGACCTGGCCCGAAGTCTTGATCATGATGGGAATTGAGGGATTCTATCTATCTATCTATCTATCTATCTATCTATCTATCTATCTATCTATCATCTATTTATTTCGGTTGAGGCTGTCATGAAGTCAATGAAATCTTAGTGTGAGTGTCTTGTGGTATTTTGTGGCGTGGAGAAGAACCATACCATGCGGCATGGCCCTTGTGTGTCCCTGTGGAAGCAAGGGTTGGGGGGCGGTTCTTATTCAGCAGAAAAACCTCGTCTGGGAAAAAAAAAACACAGCACTAGGCACCATGGGTGTGCAAAAACTAAAAGGATCCAAGCCCGGCTCTCCAGCTGTGGGGCTTGTCAGCCAAGCCTCTCAGCTGAGGAGCTTCTGGACCCTTCCACACGCGGGTCTCGGGGCCCCTGAAAAGAGCAGCAGAGTATCACCTTCTTTCTAGTTATTCACTGTGGCCAGTGTCTATCCCACCGTGGCCCCCCAGAGATGGGATGTCTATCTCCTTGCTTTTCTCCTTGTCCCCGCCCACCCACACAGGGCTGTGGGCCCCCACGGAACTCAGACGGCGACTCACCTTCATTTTGACCTCCCCGGAAGCTCTTTCTCTCCCCTCCGGTAGGGGAAGCTTCCTTCAGCAGCAGGCAACTTCCCTTCCATCCTCTCCTCCTTGCTTAGGACAAAACTGTGGTCTGAGCTGGCTTGCTCTTTAGTTCTTTGTGTTTTTTTTATAGTAGTTTTTTTTTTTTTTTAATAGAAGTACAACTGATATCCAGTATTGTATTCGTTTCAGGTTACAACACAGTGATTCAACATTTATACGTCTTATGAAATGCACACCGTGATGAGTGGTTGCAACCTGCCACCACAGAAAGCGATTACAGTATTACTGACTAGATTCCCCAGGCTGTACTTTTCATCTCCAGGACTTTTTTGATTACTAACTGGAAGGTTGTGCCTCTTAATCCCTTTCACCTCTGGCAGCCCAGTTTATTCCCTGTATTGACGAGTCTATTGGTCTTGTTCTGTTTGTTCATTTGCTTTGTTTTTTAGATGCTGCGTGTAAATGAAATCACATGGTATATGTCTCTTTCTGACTTATTTCACTTAGTGCCGTACCCTCTGGGTGTTACCCATGTTGTTGTGATTGGCAAGATTTCATTATCTTTTGTGGTTGAGTAATGTACTTTGTGTACACAATGGGACCTCTTCTTTATCCATTCGTCTATCAATGGACACTTAGGTTGCTTCCGTATCTTAGCTATTGTAAATAGTGCTGCAATGAACAACGGAGGGCATATATCTTTTTGAATTAGTGTTTTCATTTTGGGGGAGTAAATACCCAATAGTGGAATTGCTGGGTCGTTCAGAACTATTAAAATAGTTCTATTTTTAATTGTTTGAGGAATTGCCATACTGTTTTCCACAGTGGCTGCACCAATTTACATTCCCACCAATAGCACATGGGTTCTCTTTTCTCCACATCCTCACCAACATTTGTTTTTTCTTGTCTTTGTGATGATAGCCATTCTGACAGGTGCGAGATGATACTTCGTTGTGGTATTGATCTGCATTTCACTAATGATGAGTGATATTGAGCATATTTTCATGTGCCCATCAGCCATCTGTATGTTTTCTTTGGAAAAGGTGTCTATTCAGTTTCTCTACCCGTTTTAAAATCAGATTGCTTTTTTTTAAATGACTTCTTATATTTTGGGGGATATTAACTACTTATCAGATACATCATTTGCAAATATTTTCTCCCATTTAGTAGATGTGGATTGTTTCATTTTGGTGATGGTTTACTTTGCTGTGCAGAAGATTTTAGTCTGATGTAGTCCCAGTTGTTTATTTTTGCTTTTGTCTCCCTTGCCCCGGGAGACAGACCCTCCCAAATATTGCTAAGACCCATGTCTAGGAGTTTACTGCCTACGTTTTCTTTTAGGGGTTTTATGGCTTCAGGTATCACATTTAGGGCTTTAATCCATTTTGAGTTTATTTTTTTATATCGTGTAAGAAAGGGGTGCCCTTCCTCCCTTCCTTCCTCCCTTCCTCCCTTCCTCCCTCCCTTCTTTCTTCCTTCCTCCTCTCTCCTTCCCATTCCTTCCTTCCTTCTTTCCTTCCTTTTTTCCTCCCTTCCTCCCCCCTTTCCTTCCTTCCTTCCTTCCTTCCTTCCTTCCTTCCTTCCTTCCTTCCTTCCTTCCTT